GCCGGGCCGTGCCTGCGCGCCGGCCGCTCCGCTCCGCGCCGGGCCGGGCCGGGCCCTGGGGAGCCCCTCCTCGGAGCCACGGGCAGAGCGCGGCCTCCGGGCGGCAGGTAAATACTCCCTTTGGTCGGTGCGGGTCTGCGAGCATCCCCGGCCCCGCCGGTGCGGGTTTCCCCGCAGCCTTCGCCGCGCTGCCCGCCGGGCGGGGGTGCGGGCGGTGTGCGAGCAGCGGGCGTTGGCGTTTATAGCGCCGGGGTCATGTGCCCGTCTGGAAAGACACGTTCCCGTGTGCCTGGAAAGGCCCCGTCCTGCAGCGTTTCCACACCCATCGCCGCTGACGGGCTCAAATCCGGTTCCAGCGTGTGTGTAGGCATCGCTCTCAGTTTTAGTAGCCCAGGGTATGACATAATGCCGTGGTCTCCTTACATTGCAGTAAAATTGCTGCTTTGACGGAGCAAGCGCCCAGACACAGCCGGTGGAATGATACCCTCTGGCATCAAACGGGCCCAAGAGGAGAGCATCAGTTTGGGGTGAATGTGTGCTAGCTGGAGCATCAGCAGAAGTGCTGGCAGTGCAAGGCAAGGGAAGGGAAGAAAGTCGAGATTAGGTTTGTCTAAGGAATCATGACGTGCTCCTGGACTGTTTTTGTTCTGCAAATACGCACTTATGGCCCTGATCCTGCAAAAATTTACAGGCAAATCTAATTTGAGGCACTGCATAATCCCACTAAGTGGCTACAAAAAGTCGCAGTACATAAGAATAAGAAGGCGTCTGAATCTCAGTAGGACCAATGCCCATATACTTTTAGCAACAGCAGTTTTCATCTTCCCACTTTCAAGGTTTGTTTATCCAAAATTAGTAAATTAAATTTGGGATTTAAAAAAAAATCAGAAACCTAAAAGGTGAAACAGGGCACTACATAGACTGAGGAGATCCTTCATTCCACTACAGTAACTAGATACATCATTCCTGCAGAGCCTTATCAGACTGAAGTCACATTACGTGTTGACATTCCAGGTTCCTCAGATGTTTTGTTGGGCTTCTGCTAAGATCTTCAGTAGTAAAGGTGTATTTCAGTCTAGAAAGCAGCAAACGTTTGTGCTGAGCAGTCACACAACTGTGTGGTGGTCCCTGTGGTTACAGCCAGCCTGCAGGGTTAGCTGTTGTGGCAGAGCTGCCAGGACCTGAGGGTCGGGGTTGCTGTGGTAGTTAGCTGAACTTCAGCATTATTTGGATCGTTGCTTCCTTGCCTTCTTCCCCTGTCCCTCTTCCTTCATAATTAATGTGCCAAACCACTGTTGTCCTGGCTGTTTGAAAGAGGAGGGCTTAGTCTGAGGTTTGAAATGAGTTTGTTATTAAACACTGCATTTCCATCAGTGTCAGCATTTGACCGCTAATGGTTATGGGAAGTCCAGGTCTCTGTACAAAGACTTGTATGGTCCCAGCTGAGCTCCTTGGGTGCCACTGTTAGAGAGAGGAGTTGGCTACAGTTGCAGATCAGGGCTACTCAGAAATCTGTATGCTGGACAGAGTGGGATGTCAAGTATATTTTCTTACGGCTGTGCCATGATTTCAGGGAAGAAATGTCTCCCATGTTCTTGTGGAAGATGCTGTGTTTCTTACCCTCCTTCTGGCCTCCGGGTCAATGGTAGCTGTGGGGTTATAGTGGGCTCTGCTGAATCCTGATGATTGCTTCCTGCTTGATGTACCTCAAACTACCCTGAAGAGCTAAGTAAAAATTGTGTAATCTGGCATAGATGGTAAAGGATTCAGTTATTATATTGCTATTTATACTAGCTAGTGCTTCATCTAGAAAGGTCCCAAAGCATCTTACTGTCTCTGAGTCCTACTTACAAGGAGATAAATGTCTTCATCTGGCAGTCCCCCTTCTGTATGTCCTTCATTGCTTAAATGCAGCCACCTCTGGGTGCAGCAGGACATTGCTGCACACACCAGCTGAAAGCTCAGCAGCCTGATTTCCAGCAGTCTCTGTAAATGAGTCCTTGAGAGGCAACATCCCCAAGAATGAAATGTGGCTTTTATTTCTGTTCAGAACTCTGAGGGACAAACTGAAAATGTCATAATTTCTGATCTTTAAAAAAAAAAAAAAGGCAAGCTTTTATGGACTGTCTGTCTTTTCCCTTCAGCGTAGCTCTAGAAAGTGTGGAGTGGGAAGATACTTGTAAAATTTCAGTTTGCATCGACCAGAAGTGTTTATTAAAAAAAAAAAAGTTTTTTTTCTCACCTGGCATGTACAAAGTTCCCCTGCATCCTAGCAGGTGACGAGCTGGTATGTTGTGGCAGATACAATTAGAAATATTAGACTGAGTCATGTTGTTTGTTGTTTCTTGAATGTCCAGTTCAATCATGTTTCCTCTTGTACTGGAGGAGGTTTGTGTTGCTCCTTTTGGATACCCTGTTCTCTGACTGTTCTCTTTGTGCTGAGCTCAGGAGGTAACATGCTGTTTTGTGGTGTCTCTGCCTGGCAGAACAGGCCAGAGTTCTTGTAGTCAAGGGCAGCATGTAAAATTCAAGTTGTACAACTTTAGACAAACCTGTAAACACAAAGCAAATGAACCCAAACATACAAATCATTCACCCTCCCTTGGGTTGTTATTTGGGACTGCAAGTATGTTTAAGACCACACGTCCGTGCCTCAGGCCAAATCACGGCACTGCTTCATTCTGTTTGTCCATGTGGATTTTGTGTCTGTATTGTGGGTTTTGCAGTGTTTGCATCCAGATCCATCCGATCTACAGGGGCAGTGCTAGGACTCAGGAGAGCCTCTGTTGCCCTACATCTCACATCCTTCCCTGTGAGGTCCACCAGTCAACAGGCCGCATGCAAAAGAGGGTAGTCTGGATTTTAGTCTGATGTAACCTAGAAAGATGCCCACATGTTGATGGGTTTGGCTGAGCTAGAGCCTGGGCTGTGGGTCAGCATCAGCTAACTCTCTTCTGGTCAATCTGCTTTGCTTTCTGTTTCTTTCCTTGCCAAGGGTCGTTCATCCTTTCCGGATTCCCAGTCCAACTACTGGGATTTCAAGCAGTTACTCATCCACCGGAAGTGATACAGCCCCTCATTACAGCAGGGCTCCCCAGCCAGAAGGGATGTGTGTCAGATGGCTGCAAGGCAAAGGAGTCAGTGATAAAGATCTCGGGACAGCTGTACAGCAGTTCTCCTGAAAAGAAAAGCCTTCTGTGGTCCATCTTTCTCCACTGCTGAGTCCTCCTCAGCCTCTGGACCCACTTCGTTCTGGTGCAGCAGGCTGTTGTGTGCTTTTCAGCTTGGATTTTCTTGCGTTTTAATTACTGCTTCCAAAGTGCAGTTAAAATTAAAGCTAATGTATACTATAAGCACTGTTTATTATTCATTACTGTGTGCTCATCACTGGATGAGCTGTTCTGTAGCAGCGGTGTGTTAGTTCCCCACGCAGGGAGGCTGCCTGGGGAGCTTCCTTGTTAAAGGCACTGGGTCACATCAGCAGCTGGGGAATATCTGTGCTTTCACAGAGTGAGACTCATGTATCCTCTCTAAGGGTCTGCTTCCCCTCACAGAATATGGCATTCTGCTTCCTCCCTGGTTTCAACACTTTCTCCATTTCATCTTTTCTCACTTGTTTTTTGTTTTGTTTTGTTTTCTGTAGCATGGAAGAGATCACTGCTGCCCTTTAGCTTGACTGAGATTAGGCACCGAGTTAATTGCAGCTGTTCCTGCTCTTTGCCTATCCCTGCTAGGAGCGTGAGTGTTTTGAACCAGGACTGCTCTTTGGTCACATATGGATGGCACACAGTCCAGTGGATCTGACTGGGGCCGTTGTATGCTGAGCCTTCAAGCACAGCAGCTGTAATACTGTGCTTCCTGTGCAGCTAAGGGAGAGAGGGCTTCTGGCTGGGAGAGAGACCTAGATCCCATCATGCTTTGAAAGAACTTCTTTCAGAAGTCAGAACGAGATGGACCATGTTTGCTGAGTAGGCCTTGATATACTGTAAATAAATAAAGCATCATCTGCCATCTAGTTACAGCAGGGGGGTGCTGGAAAGCGGGCACTCCACAATACCTTGCACTGTCTGCCACTGTCAGTTCTTCAATCTTTTCTGCAAGCACTCTGTGCCAGTGATGTATAGAAGTCCATAGGCAGTGGTGAACACTTTGTGTGTGCTAGTCAGCCATCTGTGCATTCTCATTCTCTCTTGAACCCATTTGGGTGTGCCCACCTGAAAAAAGCAGCTCAACTTCTTAACTAAGAGGTAGCACCTAAGTCTTCATAGCTTTTTTTCAGGGATTCCGCACAGCAGTGCCTAATTTTCAGGGACTGTCATTGACCATTGATACAACTGACAATGTATCAGTTTCAATGACTGATACATTGAAGTGTATCCCATTGAGATTCTGGACAACACTTGGCTAACGGAACCCACAGAGCTAGTCAGAAATCCTTGAAACAGTAAAACCCACATGCTGTGATTGTTCAAGGTGCCACCCTGAAGACATTCAGGTCACAGGCTGAAGTTGCTCAGACCTGTAGGCAGAAAAGCTCATTAGATACTAGTTGCTCCAGCCCCAGTGGATTGTATTTGAAGAGGCTGTACATCCATCTTCAGGTGATCTGTTATTCAGACTGGACTTGTCCCAGCTCATAAACTGGACTGTAGTGGTCAAGGCCTGCAACATACCAGAAATAAACGTACCTGAGGCTGCTTGAATTTGCTCTGCTACCAAATTGTGACCCAACTGAAAGAACATCTCTTTCTGTTTTCCTTGTTTGCATGGGAGTTTCAGCCCACAGTTGCAGTGCAGAGTGACATAAGCAGAGCTGGTTTCCACAGCAGGTTTCAGGGTGCTGAGAAGGGGATAGGGCAAGCTCTCCAGAGGCTGAGGCACTCATGCTCTCTGTTTGCATATGGGTAACTTGTAAAACTCCTCTTGTACTCTTGAGATAAAATTCTCAGAAAAGCCCAAATCTTTGGCAGGAAATTTAGCCTAAGAGTCATTAGGAATCAATGAGACTTGGGGGACTTTTAAAAGATAGCCTTTTGCTATCTTTTGCTGGCTGAGAGCACCTCTCATTTATGGATCTCCTCCTGAACACATTGCTTGTGAACATCATTGATTATTCCTTTCTAATTCTCTCTCCAAATACAAGAGAAAAGGGGAAGTCCCTATTTATTCATTGTGTATCATTCAGTGTTTTATACATCTCTGTTACCTCTTCACTGAAGAGGAGGTCCTGTGAGCACCAAAACTGACAAGACTACTTATCAAGTTGTATGATACCTCCTTTCTGCTTTCCCCCTCTGCTTCCTTGGTGTTTTCAGATCCATGTGACACTAACTGCTTGTGCTGTGGCTAATTTGAAGATATCCAGGTAGTGACACTGGCCTTCTAGAACAGATAAAGTACAGAGTTTTGCCTGCTTCTCCCTTAGCAGGCGGATGAGTTTGGGCTTGTTTCCTGTCCAGTGTTGAACAACAGTTCAAGAACTGCATCTTTAAGGACACTACTGCTCTGTCACACCTAGTAGAAGTTACCTGTACAGTTCAAAAGAAGGGGAGAGAAGAATAACTGGCACATAGGCAGGATGGTGGCACAAACCCTGTTTCCTTAGGAAACTAAACTGAAAGGTGCTTCTTTTATATATGCATCTTGTATGGATTGGTGAGCTAAGTTAATCCCTTCGGTCACTGGTTCCTAAACACATGCTGGCTCTGGCTTTCTCTCCTGCCTGGGCTAGAATGTACATAATGTGTAAGCTGGGGGTACACAGCGAGTGCACGTTGTGGTGGCCTGTGTCACCTGCAAGATTGCTTTCTATCCTTTCCTCTTCCGTGCTTTTTAATTTTTGCCATGTGATGCCTGGGTATTTTGCCTGGCCCGTCGGCATCCAGAAGAGGAGACTGTGAAGTTAAATGATCTGTTCCAGTGTACATTCCTTGGCATTTATCGTCCATGATTTTTTGCTGCTGTCAGATTGTGCTGTCACCTAAGTTAAGGCCTTGTGGCTTCTCTAAGGGAAGTAATCTTGATTAAACGGAGCTGTCTCTCACTTGGCATGACCAGCAATCCTTCCTGTTTACCTCAGCCATATGAGTAATGTAGCCACTATAAACTTGTGGTAGTAAATACTTTGCTCATCTTCTAAGTACACGTTAAGTATCTGACTGTCACCCGTTCATGGATAAAAGCTGTATCTGCACTAGACAGACATATAGAAAAGCATGTTTTTCAGCTGCTGCAATCCCTGTGTTCATCAGTCCACCGCTTTCCTTCACTTTTTCTTTTTTTTTTCAGTAAGACTGGTTCCCAGGGGCCTGGGTGAGCAGTTAAGTTTCTGCTTCCCATAACAAATCCCTGCTTACAGTTGCCTATAGCTTTGGCAGTCTTTAATAGTTTGGGATGATGCTTCTCTCTTCCTGACCTTTTCACTGCCTTAGTCTGAATGTCTTTGGAAAATTTAAGGTGTTTCTAAACAACAGTACATAAGGTAATATATTTTATAGTCAAAAAGAGTTCATCTTATCCTATTCTTTGCCTTTATTTCCCCTTCATGTGAAGGAAGAGATTTCCTCTGCTTTCCCTCCCGGAGGAGATTCTGATGGAGCTGTTTACTGCCATATCAAATTTTGCTTTCATTTGGCAGCACCAAATCCAGGCAGAAGTCTGAATTAAAATTTTGTTGAGTGCCACTGTCAGAAAATGCCAAATTGTGTTTAGGGAGGAGATGTGATTGCAGAATCCCAGCACTAGTGGGAATTACTGTCACAACTCTTTCTTTGATCTAAGGAGGTTCTTGGTGGTGTAGGGAAGGGGTGAGCCCGCCGCCACCACTGAGGCCACCTTTCACGTCTTTATTGAGCAGGGCAAACAGACTAGTTTGAAAGGTATGAGTGCTGCAATTTGTGAACCGTGTGATGCAGGAGCCTGTGATCTTCTCATGACCTTGTGATTTAACATCTTACTGGATATGAGGTCAGTTTGTAGTTCAGCATCACCACGCTTGGCTGCATGACACTGACTCCAGTCTCACAGGATGCAGAGAAACGTGCAGCCACATGAAGCCTCCAGCATTTAAAAATGAACCTGTTAAACGTAAGTGTCAATTTTCCCCCCTTGCTTTCCACCTTTCCTAATGATTTAAAGTAAAGAACAGAGCAACATTGCATCTGCTACCACTGAAATGCTTCTGTGGCCTGTGGCAAGCCTTTCTGGAGTGATTGCTGCTTTAGTTCCTTGAGTGGGAGCAAGGCTGTGTTCTCTGCTATATTCACCCCTGTGATGCAGCATCTTTGTATGGGCCAGCTTGTAGTTTTCACTATTGGTGTAGGATTATTTTAGGGCTGATTTTGTTCAAGTGAATGCCTGTTGCAGTTTTGCAACTTCAAAGTATCATAATTGTTTTAAAGACATGCCATAGGAGGATGTAGAATAAGTGGACAGGTTGCACCACATCATGTCCTTAGCCTGTTCCTGGAGCTCCCAGGCTCTAAGGTGCCGGGGAGCAGAACCCTGTTCAGGGGCTGCTGGCAGGAATGAGCTTCAAGAGTGAACTCTGTTCTGCATTAAGCTGACAATGCAGTTGTGCCCAGGATGACTTTTTTTTTTTGCCCACTGCCATCAACCTGATGGGAAAGAGTCTGTTCCCATATTGTTCTGATTGAAACCAGATGTGTTTTCTTCAGCCTTCTGGTTGCGGTTCAGGCTCTACCTTCAGTGTCTTACTGTGCGTTTACTTGTTGAAGCTGATCCTAGTCCTGGTTCACTATGAGGCTAGTGAAGTGAATCCTTGCAAAGAGATAGGAGGAGAAAGATCCCGATGTAAAGGCTTGAAGCTTCCAGAATTATATATGTGATTGTTTATTGCTTTTGAAAATTATTTACTTGGAGTATGTTTGCAGAGATCTGGGCCTGAACTGCTGATCTGTTAGGAGGAAGGGTGAGCTGCTGCTTTCAAACACAACTATGTCATGGCTTGTCTCAACTGAAAGAGAGATGGGAGGAAGCCAGCGGGTGATCGTGGAGGGAGTTTGTGCTACAGGATTCTGTGGCCCCTTCTTGGGGGGCTGCTGGCTTTCCTCCCTCTGGCTTACTATAGGAAAAGGTGCCTATTTAAACAACTTTGCTAATAGAAGTTAGGCAAATAGACTGTTCTGGATTTAAAAAAGAGCCTTAAATAGAAGTATTATCTGTGTTTGAAGCTGTTTAATAGATGTTTTTTCCTGCTAGGTGTAAATCTTCATGGGTCCTGGTAGCACTTCAGCATTCACAAGCTAATGAGCTGCTAATTATCAGCCCTGCCCAGGCTAATTAGTTCTGTTAAGAGTGTATTAATCTAGGCAGAGCTCTGAGCTAATGCAGCTTTGCTGCTTCTAGGACTTGGGCTGGTGTGGTCAAAACTGGGATGTAGATCTCTGACTTTAGGCTATTCTTCATGTAGAGGCTCTAGGTACTGTGATTGCTCCTGGCAGCCACCAGAGCTGTTCTCCCGCTGGCACAAATGCCAGTCTCTAGGTCCCAAGAACTCACATACATTTCACTAATTTCCCCAATTTAAACATACCTACGGTGCACTTCCCTCGAGCATGGCAGCACTGTGGGTGGTACTTCAAGAGGGAGAGGTTAGAAGGCAGCAGGCTTGGTGTGGCAGATGTCAGCAATGAGACACCCCGTTATTGCACTAGAGGGAATAGAAACCCCCCTTCCTTTGAGCTCACAGGCTTGAGCTCACGTGGGTCAATACAGCTTGTCGGTAGTTCTACTCTTAAAACCCTTCTCTATTCTTTTGTTTTGCTGGTACGTTGCTTTGTCTTTCTGGGGCTTAGGTTGCCACATGGTTTCACTTAGGTTCCCAGTTATATTCTAGAGAGAAACTCTACATGCAGTGCTCTGCAGCAGCCTAATAGCATTGATTTATTAGGCAACTATCATAGTTCTGTTTCTGCAGGCAAGTAGGCAGAACAGCTACTGTAAAACTCATGTTGATCTCCTAAAATTGGAAGTGCAAACCATCTGGGAGAAAAGGGAGAAAAAGGCAAACTATCTGAGGCTGATTGGCCTATTTTAATAACCCTTCATTTCTCAACTTTTTCTTCCAGCCCCATGGGAACCCGTACTAAGCATTCCCGAGGTAGCTGCATTTGTGATGTTAGTCAGTACTGCCTCTCAGTGTAGCTTTCTAAAGCCTGGTTAATAGATAGCATCACTTTGGTTCCCCTTTATCTGGTGCTCCATCCTGCTCTCCGCAGGTTCCAGTTCAGGAAGTGATAATACACAGAGTTCACACACAGTGAACAACAGAAACCCCAAAGGGGTGGTTCATACACAATAATGTTGGTGCTAAATGAAGGAGAAAGTATAATCAAGGGGACTGTGACTGTGAAAGGAGTGATGTGATTAAAATCTGTGAAAAGGCTCTTCCTGACATGATGTTTTGCTTTGCTTTACAGGTACTCTCCATCACTATGAGCTCATTCCATAGAGGGACTGTAGCCCACTTGATCAGTGGATGTTAAGTTTCCCATCTGAAGGCAGATTGATTTGATTCCTTTCTACCACGAAGGATTGTTGTTGGTGAATGTATTTGCCCCACCATCTCTAAGATAATGGTGTGCCAAGGACAGATGTGAAGCAGCTCTTTACCTGGATATGGATGTGGTGTCTTCTTAAAGCATCACGACACCTTAGGCCCACTGGCAGCAGAGGATATGGAGGCTCTTGAAGTTGATGACATTAGCCCTGCCTTGGAAGTGACTGAAGACTTTTTCAATACTTTTGATACTAAGCTTGAAAAGATTGTGCAGCCCTCTGAGGTGTACGGTGTACAGGAGGTCCCCGAACTGGTTGGGCACGAGGTATTTGATCAGATAACAGAGAGCAGGAATCTGAGGAACGTCGCCTCCTTAGCCAAAAGTAGCCTCATCTGGGATCACTGCAAAAATGGCCTCTTGGAAACCAAAGCTCAGACAGCATTCCCTGCCAAAGAGCAGCGCATGGTGCAGAGGGGAACAGCTGCTGACAACCTTGCTTGGGCAGGGGAAGGGGAGACCACAGCTTTTAACATCTTCAACATCTGCCAGCGGAGGAGAGACAGGCCTCGCTCGGTGAACGACATCCTGGTGCAGAATGAGGAAACTGCCACATTCAAGCCAGGACACAACAGGTCACGCTCTGATATCAGCCATGTAAACTGGGGAGTGGTCTTCACGGGCACCTCCTTGCAGCAGCCACCTGCGCCCGGTCAGGACAATAACTGTGCTTTGCTCTCTTACCTGGCGTTAACCAAGGGAGAGGACATCCAAGGAAACACAGGTTTGTGCTGATGCTTTATTGTTTCTGTTGATGTGAGGACTTTCCTATTTGTTCTTAATATTTATCTTGAAAAAGGAGCTGTGTGTTAAAAAAAAACACAACAAAACCCCCCAAACCCAACTGTAAGGTAGCTCTTAAGATGGTAGAAATCAGCATGGCTCTGTTATCTTTGATATAGCTCTGTCTGTTTGCCTGCCTAAGGATGAGTTTTTAAACCAATCTTGACTTCTCTTCCTTTCATCGTTTGAAAAACTAAGCGTGCTTTACTTTTTGCTTTATTTTGTTCAGTTTGACTCAGGAAAAAGTAATTTATTTGTTACATATTTCTGATCATTTCCTTACCCGATTTTCCTGAACTAAAAAAACTTTGAATGCTAAAGCTGCTGGGAGAATGGCAAATCCAAACAAAGGCAGTTTTCATAAAAGTTAGAGCAGCCATTAAAAAGAGGGCATACAAAGCTTTACTGTAAGGCCTGACATCTCTGCTCTATTTCCTTAAGAAATGCTGGCTATTCAGTCCATAAACAATTAACAAAAACTCAAGCATGCAGTTTGTGCTTGTCAATATTAAGGCATCTCTGCCAGCTTTGTATGGGGTAGAGGAAGCCTTGTTATCAGATTGAGGCAGGCGTCTCCAGTCAGCCATACAGAGCAACATTTCAGCAAGTGATACTTTTTCCTTTTCCTTTCTCGAGCAACGCACTGGAAGAAGTTGTGCTCAGGGCTTTGGAAACACTGAACCAGTGTCTCCATCTCTGTGATTTATTTTGTAGATGCCAGAAGTGGACTGGGCACTTGGGGAGAAGAAAAACAGTTAGTGTGCCACAAAGGTTTTATAATCAAAATAAAGGCAGGACTTAACAAAGGAATTTAAAAATTCAAGGGTTGTGAAAGCATGCGTGTGTGTGTATGGTGGGATGGCTCCAGTTATGAATAGGTAGCCTGTTTAGGATTAAAACAAGCCTTCTGGCTTAGGTTTTCCAGGTAAGTCAGCTGTTTCGGAGCATGAAAAGCAGCTGCCTAAATGGTTGTTTGTGGATATGTGCACATATAAATATATATAATATGTAGGTATGTATGTGTGTGTATACATACACCAACCTGTAGGTTATTGTGTTAGATTGTGACATAGTTGCTATATCCCAAAGGAGGGTGCTCTTGGTTTACAAAGGCTGTTATTTGTGCTGTTGTTTTCCTTTAGGGAGATACATTGTTTCTTGCAGAGTGGGGTCTCTGGTCTGTGTCCTTCCTGTGGAAGGGATGCAGAACAGGAATGCACCCAGAAGCCTGGAGACAGAGCTCTCAGTTGCTGTTAGCTGTATCCTGGGCATGTCATGGGGTTAACTTAGTACATAACATCTTTTTATGTCCACAGAAACACCATTAAAATCTAGCATTACAATCTGGCCATTAAACATCAATACATGTCCCCAATAGTGTTTTAAGCTTAATCTTTTTGGTGCAATTTCCCCATACAGCCCTCAGAAGAAGGAAGGGGTTCTGCTACATGTACTGTTTATAATAAGAAATACCTAAGCCGTTCTGTATTTAAAGACTTGTTCATGTACTTATTCAGTGAGAGAGATTTCAAGCTGCCACTGGATCCCCAAGCTGCAAGAAGCAAGCCACCAATCCAGCTGGTGCTGAGCAGCAGAGTCCGAGGCAGGTCTCCCTTCTGTCAGTCCAGGGTTGGGGTGCACCCTAATTTATTGCACCTCTGTCTGGGGTGAACCAAATTACATTCCCTCCTCCCTTACACACCAATGGAGGACAGCGTGATGCAGCTTTTCATAAAAGGAGGCAAATTGGAAACAATGATGTAGGTTTTTCTTCCCCTTCTGGCAAAAAAATTTTATTGGGAAGTGTGGTGCTGGGACACCATTGCTTCCAAAGTCAGGAACCACATACTGCAGTCTCTAACCCCTCCCTGGGGTCTGTCATCTCTAAGCAAAGTGGACTGGAACAGGTGAAGCTTCTGAAAGTGCTGAGAGTCTCATGCAGGAGGGTGAGATAACTGTGACAAAACCATGAGAGGAGAGAAAAAACAAGAGACACACTCCATGTACAGCTGGATCTAACAGTGGGATTCCTTAAGCTAGGTTGTATCCAGGGTTCAGTCACATTGTCACAGGGTGTACCCACCCTGTGCCACTTCAGTAGTAGCACTGGAGTTCAGTGGTACTTCTTCCAGCTCCTCAACAGGCACTTGTACTGTTTAAATGCAGTTAATGCAATGAGTTTTTCTCCATACAGAAAAAATAAACAGACCATGTTAGTGTGATAGACTCTTTATCATTATGATTTCCTGTTAACAGTTTGTAGTTATGAGTTACAACTGTGAAGACTTTGCATCTGTAAAGTAGTTTTGTGACGTATAGCAATATTTGCACTCTTAAGAAAAACAGACATTGACAGATTTCCATTAAGAAAACTCTTGGTTTTATACTATCTGCAGTAGTGCCAGGTATCTTATCACCCATCCATTCCTCGCTGTCTCCGTGGTACCAGGAACAAGTCCCATTGCTGTGCTCAGTGCTGCCAGAAGCGTAGAGCTCTTCAAAATGGCTTTTTACAGAAGAGACTCAACGTGGTCAAGTTCTTGGATTTTGGAGGTGAATCGAGCAAGGGAAGGAAATGGATTAGTAAAGAGTGGCTGAAGAACTTCTCCCAGTACTCTACTCACCAGCAGCACCACTGAGATGCCCAGCCCATGCTTTTTCCTATTGCTTTTTTGCAAAGGTGCAAGGCATTTGTCAGTGCTTGCTGTGTGCTCTCCAAGAGCCTTTCTGCATGGGATGTTTGAAGGCAGTGGTACCTTCTTTTAGGAAGGAGAACTTCTGTGCTCTGAAAATGCACTCTTTTGACCTGTTTCCTTAACCTGTTCTGTTCAGCTGCTCTGCAGGTTTTAGAAGGTAACCATGGTATTTCTTCCCTCTGTGTTCACAAGAGAGCCTGCCATAGAGGTTGCTGCTGCTGTGAGGTGAGCTGAAAAGAGAGAAGCAAAGCAAGAAAGTAGATGTTGCAGGTACATGTATCTGGGACTGGTAATTATTTTCCACAAGAGATTGAAAAATGTAATTTAAGGTTGGATAAAAGCTACTGCAAGTGGTCGAAGGGGTCATAGTGGCCACAGCCTGCAGAGACATCCCTTCCTAGGGCTTGAGTACAGATTAAATGAATGCATATGAGATACCAAGAGCAACTTCAACCACTCTGATCAGCTCTCATGGCAGTAAAGGACTTCCCTCTGGAGCCTGCAGAGGTCTCCCAGTCCTCTGAGGCTGAGCTGCTGCACAGACTAACACTTCACAATTTGTTTTTTTCCTTATCTTCATAGTATATTTATTACTATGAGCTTATCTGTTCCTGCTGCTTGCTTTTTTATAATACAAATAAAATGAAACTGGATCCTTTCCATGTGCTGTGAAAGAAAAGGATCTGAAAAGAAGCTGTGCCTTTTGGGGCAGTATCTCCTTAAGCCTGCTGGCAAAACAGCCAGTGTACTAGAAGTGAGCACTGTTTGAGCAGCGTCAAGCTGTAAGCGGAGCTAGCAAAGAAGGAAGTTGTAAGCAAATTCAAGACAGGCTTTTTGTATTTCTGGGCATGTGGCCTGGCAAACAAAGGGAGAATGCTGCTTCTGTAGTATTCAGCGAAAGCTTGCTTAGATCATTAAAACACAGTGTGTGAGCAGTTATCTTTGATCGTCATGTGGATGTTTTCATTCAAACGCAGGCACTCCCCAGAGTGTGGGCCTATAGTGCTTTTCCCAGGTAGCTGTTTTGTTTGCCTGCCATACCTGTGGGCTTGGGGAACTCCAGAGCCCTCAGTGCACCCAGCTCCTGCACGCTGACAAACCATCCTTACTGCAGAAGGCTGGCTCCTTGTGCCCATCTCCAACAAGCAGCAAGGGAGGTGCTCGGCCAGCCCCATTCATTTTGGCAGTATGCTCTGTCAGGAAGCTGAGCCTACGGGGTGTTTCCAGCACTGTGGCATGGCAAAATACCAGAGGAAGGCGACCGTCTTAAAACTGGCCAGCAGGCCCAAATTCTGCTGCATCTGATTGAGGCTAGGATTTCACTTCCTTCCTTCAACAAAGGTGATTTAAAAAAATAGCCTTTTTTTTCCCCTTCTCTCTTCACAACTCTTTATCTCGCTGGCAGCCTTGCCTCCCAGAGTTTGGGACACTCTGAAGGTATGATCTTGTACTCAGAGTTTGTGCAGGGGAAATTTCAAGAGAGCTTTGGGTCCCTCTTCGTATAACTCTTGCGCGTATTACATACTTTTCTAGTGTGTTTTTGTGGAGGTGAGACATCTAAATCTGTATTCATGAGCAACACACCCCTGATTCACAGGTTGGGCAGCAGGGGTGATCCTTGAGTTCTGAGCAGTCATTTTACATTGCTGCTTTCTCCTATTCTGGTGATCACACAGACTTTATGTTGGGGTGTTGTCTTTGTTTGCCAGATATCCTCACCCTTGGCAGCAATAGTGGTGGCGGATGTTAGCTCTGTACCTGTGAGATTGACTCATGCAGCATTTAGTGGTACATACCAGTGTGTTGAGCCACTTTGTGGCGGTGGGTCTCAGCAGCAGACAGTGGTGCCATCAATTGCTGCTGTTGTTCTGGTCAGGGAGGAGCTACAAAGACAGCTAGCTGAAAAAAGGCAATGTGGCAGGTGAAGGAGCTGCTGCAGAGGTGGAGGTGGTCAGAGATCCTGAGAGGTGTGAAACACTGAAGGTGTGACATGCAGCCTTTATGTTTCCCCTCCAATGATGGCCAGGTAGAGCCTAGCTCTTGACCTGTCTTCCAGGGAGGTTTCTGAAGCCCAATTGCCATTTGTGATCTTGCAAAAATACCCTTGTAGCACTCTCTTTTGTCTGTGTTGTGTAGATAGAAGCTACACAGCCAGGGCAGACCAACAGGCTGTTAATTGCCAGTGGGATGGCAGAACATTATAGATCTGTGGTGTTGTGCAGAAGATAATGGTGCTGCCGTCCAA